CACTTTCATACGAAATGAATGTCCCTCTAACAATGTTATCTCAGGAGATTCATCGAAACCCAGTTTCTCTTAGTATCAATTAGTATAAATAAAAAGGAGAGTATGGAAAAATCAGCTTATGATTTACTTCTATAGGAAGCTATATTATTATGAGATTAGAGGTAATATTTGCACTGGAATATTGAATTTTTATTGATGAATAATCGTCCTCTGCTGACACATAATAGGTGGAAATCGCATTCCTTATCGAATCGCTATCTAAAGATATATGGTGGCTAAATAAATAATAGGCCAATATTAATATCCTAAATTCTATTTTCACCATTAAGCTAGATGTTTTTTATGGAAGCCAAGAAACAAGTTTTAATTTATGAATTCAACTTTTATTCGCAGTGGGATTAACAGATAATTTATGCTAAAATTATGGAATATATATGTTCCTGTAAAAGTCACGCTAGGTTGAGCATAGAGCAGCCAAAGCCTTCCAACTTATGGGGCCTGACTCGACGGAGACGCTTAGATAAACATCCCTTAATCAATAAAGAAAATTAATACAATAAAATAAGGACATTTTTGCTTGGACTTTTATTTCGTATGAAAGTGTATGAAAAAGAGATTCGAAGGTCGATCTCACCAGAAGAGGGCGGTTGGATCCAGCTATATTGCAGCTGTTTGGCTTTTATAAGACGTTGAGGTTGACGCAGTCCACGAGACCTCCTCCTTCATCTCGGGTGTAACGGGCTCAACTGAACGGTTGCAGTACAAGGAGATTCAACCGCCTTCTTCTGGTGAGATCGACCTTCGAATTCCAATTACTCTTCATATACTTCAAATAGCATCGAGTTGTCTAACTGCTATACGACAAGCTAAACCATAAGCATGAGAGAAGAATTAAAGTCATGAAGGCCAAGATGATATGACCCCTATTTTGGTCGCAGTTTCCCCTCATTGTAGAGAAATGTCTGGGCCTCTATTTCGCATCTTAAAACTTTTGCCAGGGTAACCTCCCCAAGCATGTGCCAAATCCAATATTCGACAATGGAAATTAACAAGGCTTCTATGGCAAAGGAAGATCAGACAAAATGCGATGATAAGGGCCATCTTGAGTAAATTCAGAAGGAATAAGTCGAAGAATCGGCGGGTGCCTAAGTGAATGTCAATTAAGAGGATGAGCTTTCAGATAATATGAAAAACGGAGTAAGCTTTATAGGAAATTTTATATTTAAGACTTTCTTAACTTCAAAAAATATGATTCATTTGATCAAATGAGTATCCACGTAAAATAGTGGCAGTTGCTTGATTACCACAAGTTAATCATTCGAACAAGTGATGGGAAACAGAGTGACGGGACAAGAGTGGAATAATGTATTTATGAGCCTTACTATTATTAGCAACACACTTTAATTAATTTTAGAACTACTAACTCCCAATGGCACCAAACTAACAAGCTCAGACATTCCCTGGATAATTTAGAAAAAAATCACAATCCCATGTCGTAACACATTTTATTAAGAGCGGGACTAATTGATAATGAAAGTCAGACTACCGCAGTAATTAGTTTACCCAAAATAAAATGCTATAAGCAAAAATGAATTTCTCAAAGTTAGACGAATAAGACATCATACATGCTACTTTGTATTATTCCTATAATCCCCACGATCATTGAACCCTTAAAATTAGTATTGCCGTAGCGTAATAAAGTTATGGTTTTTTAACCAATCTTTTTCTGCAATAGAGTTAATCCATAAATGTAATTTATATTTCAAATAAAGGTTGAGCTAGAGAAAACAATAGGAAGAGACAAAGGCTCACGGGATCGGGCCCAAGCCAAAGCCTTTGACCTTCGAATATCTCTCCGTGACTAAGTCTGCCCCAGAGGACTGGATTCGGCACACCGGGCACTTGATAAAATACCTGATTCACCCAAAATTGAACGCCTCTAGAGGCAAAATATTCTGGGCAAGTAACTTTTAAAGTGGTGCAGTAAGGATCTGTTGACAAGTACAAAGGCAATGTTCGTCGATCTAGGCATCTATTCTGTCGACGGACTGAACATAGCGGTGTCGGACACGGGGAGAAGGCACGCATCAGTCCATGCACAATTTGATTTGGCTCCTCTTCCATAACTTCCTCTTTGCCACCGAAGCAGTCAACAACTCCTTCATTGCCAGTTGGGCGCTCACGCTTACGCTGGAAACTCCGATTGTCGTTGGATAATCTGTCATTGGTAACCAAGGTGAGGTCAGTGGTAGCAATTTTGTCGCTTGAAACCTGACTTACAGGACTATGTCTGACAGGTTTGCA